ATGGATGCAATACTTGCACATGCGGCGAAGACGGTGAAGCTGCATGTACATTAATGGCCTGTGAGGTAGTCGAGGAACCTAAGTGTTTGGACAAGGTAGATTTTTGTGCGGAAGGTTGTACCACTTACTCCGATGGATGCAATACTTGCACATGCGGCGAAGACGGTGAAGCTGCATGTACATTAATGGCCTGTGAGGTATTCGAGGAACCTAAGTGCCTGGACTAGGTAGTACTATGCGGCGAGAATGGCGTAGCGGCCTGTACCTTGAAGCTCTGTCATACCATGGAGGAGCCCGCCTGTTTTGATTAGAGAATGAGTATGGTAGTGCCGTATTCTGTCATCAAATTATGCTTTACATTGCGTGTTCGAAATATTAAATTAAAGTACAACTTAACTTTAACGTTCTACGATACGTATATCCTGACGTTGAATGCCAGTGCGTAGTCTGTGTGAAATAGATGCTATTATTTATACAGCATGTATACTTGCGGATGACAAAGCGACAGAGATTTTGTTCTCAAAGGTTATTCTTCCGTCTACTATTCGACCTTCTTAGTAGTACGATAGGATCATAAAGGGAGTTTTCGTTATATGGGAAATAAAGATCAGAAACTTTGTATACAGGCGGCAGCAAGGTCGAGAGTAAATTGCATTTCGAAAACAAAGTAAGTTGACAATATTATCGAGAATCCTATACTTTTACCTGTTAAGAAGTTGGAGTTATCTCTTAGTGCTACGATATCTAATCTAAAATGTAGCTTCCTTTTTGCTTACTAAGACCGGCTTTATACTAATTTGCATCACTACAACAAGAACATTGTCCACCATGATTCGGGGTCGCGAATATGAATTCGTCCCCGGTTTTATAAATCTGAGCTTGGGCGTTTCTGAATATGTAGTTTTCAGACGGATATCCCTGACCAAGCGGCTGTGAACAATATTAATAATGACGGTGTAGTGTAGTGTAGTACACAAATGCAATGATACTTTTCAAATGGTTTAATACCAATACCTGAGAATTATTTGGTTCATGCCGCAGAGGCCTTGCCGCATAGTTCGTGGGACACTTCACAATTCATATTGCACACACCCGCGCAGAGAAAATTCGCTGCGTGTGCACACTAGTACAGTCTAACTAGATAAGAGGCAAAAAAATATTTCGTCAATCTGCTGGTCATAAAGGGGTCGAGAATAGACGTTAACCGCAAACGCCGTGATTTATTTTTTAAACATTTAAACGGTGCTATATCCTAGACCGGGGGCGCGCAGCTATTTTTTAGGCCCCTTTTACATACATATTCCGGATTGAGGTTAGGTTTTAGGGTTCGATCAGGTTAATATAGAAAAAATGTAAATAGTGTATTTATAAATTGTATTGAACCACACATTTTTACAATGCGATGAGTTGAAAATAGTGTCGTATCTATGTGTATTTATAGTGCTGTATCTATATGTATATGCTGTGTACGATAAAGATTAAACCTTCTATAGTCAGTCATTGTAGGCAAAAAGTACTATGTTATTAGACAGACACAACATATAATTACTAGACAGACACATCAACACGTAAGGTTGCACTATGAATGTTTTAATTCCCAAGGATTCGCACGACAAATCAACACGCGACGCAAGATGTCTGGTGTGCTGTTCCCGTGCAGATCTCGATCAGATGCGATACAACGTATTGCAGAATCTAGAGGTAATTCTACGCGAGCCGACTAATGTTCTCATTTAGATATAGTCTGTTGAAGACGTGCTATTTGTGCTTTGCCATGTCAAAGTGGTATCAGTGTTTTATACTGAGTGTTAAGCGGGAAGGCTCTATATGGCACTTCTACACAAACCGATTAATGACCCCAAACATGAATAATTTGTTATGAGATGTGTAATGTGTGCACTTCTGTAGGTCGTATGTACCATATGTTAGCATTTTAGTAGGAGTGCTCATGAGGTACTTCTACAATAACCAGTAAATAACTGCGAATACAAATCATCTATTACGAGGTGTGTGTGTACATACGAGACTCATAGCTGTATGCACGTGTGTACATACGAGACTCATAGCTGTATGCAGGTGCGGATAACCGCAAAGTCCCGTATTTGTAGCGACAGGTGTCATGATATACCATCAGAGTGTAAATCTGTAGCCTATTATTCAAACATACTTCAAATATGCATTAATGTTCGCACAAGTTTCATGTCCCAAGTTTAATTATTTGGTGTTAACTGCTGTTTTGATGACGTAGGTTACAGACTGCGATATATATGCAGTGCGTACAGAGATGATATATACAGTGCAGAGATAGACATGTATATAGTCATGGATTTGGAGTTGTTTACAGGATACAAATATCAGGATTGTACTCTTACTGTATAGATATATATGTATATATATATCATCGATTGACGTGAATGTTTATTCGTTTCCCGTGCAGGTAGAATTCGGGAGTGTGGTTACAGCTATACACACATATGCATCTACTAAAGTATCGCTGCACTTGTCAGTACTTGATATAGTATTCATGCCATGGTGGAAGTATACGTGATGAATATTTTCAATCAAGTTTTGAGTCCGATGCATACAAGTTTGCAGATAGTTTTTTGCAATACACCTACCAATTCGACGAGATTTGGGTCTTGTACCGGCATACACACTCACTTAAAGACAAACGTGTGATGTTATAATCTCGGGTCTGGTACAGGCATACACACTCACATATTAACAAACGTGTGACGTTACTTATATCTAATCTAAGTGCACTGTACACATGTATATTAGCTGTCTGCAGAACAATATGTTCCCCCAGCTTCACATCATACAAGAAGAGCCCTCCGAACGCACGCAAAAGTTCGGTATCTAAAATTTCGAAGCCGCATCCCGTGTGGGTGGGAGTGTGTGTTCACGTATTGGGCAGTCCGTGCGTGAGGCTACTCGTTGGCGTACGTTCTATCTGGGTTCGATATGTACCCGTGCGTCTATCGAAAGTTGTATATATCTGTGGTTATGGCCACTGGTTTCCATACGAACCTTATAAAGGTCTTGTCTTTGGGTTCGGCTATAGCTTAGCGGAGGTTGCCAATTGCAATTGCACGCGATGGTCGTCTGTGGTATCACAGAGACATAGGTATTACATTGTTCGTGTCTGAACTATGATATGCAAGTCTTCGAGAGCATATTCCTCTGTCTATATATCTCGTTACATACGTGCCTGTACTCGTACAGTAGAAAGCAGAGGCGTATGCTGTGAGGGGCTACACTATCAACTGGTAAATGCGTTGAATTCAATCATTGCTGAAGTATATGAATGTAATTATACAGTTATCTAAATATCTTTGTTCATAATCATATTTAGTCACACACTCACTTATTTATATGCACGTATATCGTGCAGGCTATCGACAGATCACTGCGGTCGCTTAGAGACCAGTTTCTACCCTATCTAAACGGTGGTACACGCACGGCTGCACAACTTGGGCGTCTAATTTTGTCCCATCTCATCAATGACATGGAACATCATATGGAATTGAAGCAGGTGCAGGTAGGTGTAAAAAAAATCTGAATATTAATGGGATTTTATAAAAAAACACACACACACA